AAGCCATTTAGTTATATACATATACTAGTATTTTGTTAACCACTGAGGCTGCAATTAGAAAACTTATTTGAAAAGCTTTGTGTCGTAATGTAGAGATTTGCTATACTACTTTCAGATAGCTAGTGTACCATAATCATTACTATCATATTATATAAAGCTTTCGTTAACTGGAATATAAGGGTTGTTTCAAAATGGGACAAACTTCCTTCTTCGATTATTAAATACAAAAGTGTTGTTAAATTAAACAAACGAGGCAGTAAAGTTGCGACAGAAACATCGTAGTTGTTAGAACGATGCTTTCCCAACATGCCTAATATTACTTCTTTGATTGCCTGCCATGCATTCAATTCAACGTCAATCAAAATATTGTTGAATGCGTCACTTTTAATCAGCTTTCGTATATCTGAATAATTTAGTACGCTTGATTGGAAAAAATTAGTTTGTTAAGATGGAAAACCTTGCTAAATAAGGAAAAAATTGAAAAGGTCATCAAAAAAAAAACTGACACATACGAACGCCAAACCCTTTGAGGGTTTTACTACATTTACCTAGTACCATCACCCTGACTTGGAATTTCTCACCCCCCAGATTAGCTGTTGTACTACTGTGTAATAATAAAATAATATACACAATTCACAAAAACAATATCTGACTGACCGATTATTGACGTATGCTTTTTGAAAACAAAAAATTTATTAAATTATAAATAATTAAGTATATAGGTACTTATAAATAAGTTTTTCATTTTACTGTATACAAACGCATATCAAAAAGAGAATGCTTCACTAATATCAATATTTAATTTTTCATGCTAATAACAGCTGTGCTCATGCCACAGCCCCACAAAAACAACAACTTCAAATAAATTAAGTTCCTCAAATAGCTTTCGGTATTTCCTTTGATTTTCAACACATAAGTGCACTTTCCACTTAACATAACAAAAACGAAAAGGTTTGTAAAATTATGAAAAGACAACAGCAACAATAGCACAAAAGCGAAGAAATTGACTGAATAAGCTCGGAACGGTAAACAGCTACTGAGACGGAGGCTGCGACGACGAGGAGAATCTTAGACGACTGTCTCTACGAAAAGTATATCCACAGATTATAAACCTGCATGTAGTGTTGGTGCGAGGTTTTTGAAAACTAGTTAAAGCAGGAAAAAGCAGAGAGTGCGCAGCAAGTCCATAAAAAATCAAACACTAAAAATCGAGGAAAATACAATTTAAACTTTCTCTTTGCGGTAATTAAAAAGTTCAAAATTTTCTGCCGTACGCTGGGCAGAAAGAGAGGGATAGCGCGACAGCACTAGTCTGTATGAATCATAAGACATGAGGCTAAGGCAAGCGTTACAACAGAAAATAACGTGGTATAAGCTGACCCCCCAGTGGATGTTGTCGTTGTGATCCAAACAAAACGAGGATACCGACGAAGAGGTTCTGGCGGACAAAGAGGAGCATAAAAATTACAAACTGTAAAAATTAAAAACCCCAGTGCCGATAGTGCGACTCCGCTTTTCTTGAGTTTCCAACACTTTCCATTTATTTGCGCTTTCCATTTGACTTTATTATTTTATTGTTTATATTACTTTTTTCATTTGTGAAACAGCAAACAACACTTCCTGCCAAAGTGCGTGAACGTGGCCGACACTTTGCATTTTATCGCTACCTGGCTTGCAATTGCAATTGCATGGACGATGACAACATCTTGTCACGCCACAAAAATGCGCATCTGAGCGTATTTGCCACAAAATATGTCTCTGATTGAATTGCGACCCAAAAGGCGACTCGGTGTGAGTTGTTGAAGAGAAGTCCAAGAGCAACAACCATTGAAGTTAGGTCGACTGTTGCAAATTACATTAGCTTATATTTGTATTTTCTTTATCAATTGTTTCTTTTTAAATAAATTTAACTTGGTTATCATAAACGTATCGTTTGTACTGCTCATGTATATCGTGTTAACACTTAAAATTAATCGTAACATTGCGCTTTAATGATGCACGTGTCAATCTGATGAGTCGACGTTGCGAGTTTTCAAGAAAAAGCTTCTGCGAAGGATTAATGGTCCTTTGCGCGTTGGCCACGATGAACATCGCGTTGGAAAAATAAGCTGTATGAAATACATGACACCATTTGCATATTTCAGTGAATTAAAAGACAGCGGCTATGCTGGCTAGGTCATGTTGTCCGAATGGACGATAACACTCCAGCTCTGTTAGTATTCGGGGGAAGCAGAAGAAGAGGAAGACCTCCACTCCGTAGGAAAGACGAGGTGGAGAAGACCTGGCTTCGTTTGGAATTTAAAATTGGCACCGCATTGCGAAATAAAGTAATGACTGGGGCGCTGTTGTTAATTCGGCTAAGCCACGTAAGCGGGTTCTACGCCACTAATGTAGAAAAAGATAGCACCTTCAGTGTCCCGCCTTCACGCTGATAATTGCAATAAATAAATTATTATAAAAAGCAAAGTAGTAAATGGTTTTTTGTTATTGCAGCTGCGTTGTTATTGCCATTGTTACTGTGGCTGGTGTAATGCAAGTTTTTGCAATGTGTTTGCTGGACTACAAAGTATTACCGGACGCACCACGAAATGAGCCACGTGACGTGCAGGACGAACGACTGAATGTGCGAGACTAACCAACGGAGATGGGGAGAAAGCAAACTTGTCAGCCAGTTTGGACAGCTCGGCTATTGACTATGTTGTTTGCTGCCTTACCGCACCGCATCAAGGAAATGAGAAAAGTTACTTTTTTGGTTTTTAGTTTGCAAGTTTTTTCATGTGCAGGCGCTTTGGGCACGTAGTGTACATTTACGCCTCGTAACTACTTGCTGCTCTTCATCCCGCTCGCATTTCGTTCTCTCAGTGCTGCATTTCATGGCACACATATTTTTAAGTTGCTAAAAGTTGTAGACTTGTGAAATGGTTTCATTTATTATTTTACTTCGCCTGCTTTTTTATTTTTCAGTCTCTTTACGGTTAACAGCCTGACATCAAAGTCAATAAATAAATCACAGCTCCTCCGCACCGTCATAACCACTGTATCCGCGCTCTGCTCGCTTTTCCTTCATGCAAAGCAATGTTGCATATTTTCTTCCGACTTTACTTGTCGACCAGGCCCTTCATTCAGCTACTTTGTGTAAAACTTTTCTTTAATATTGAATTCGTATGTTTTGTATTGCTTTTTTCTCCTTAGTTTATCCGTTTTTTTCTCTAAACTTTGCTCCTTTCACCCTCAACATTACTCTACTTATATTTAAGTGCGCGCTTCACTTGGAAAAAAATACTTTCAACTCTTTCCTCGCCAGCTGATGTTGAATTTTGTCGCACTTTGTCTTTCGAAATGGAAATTTAAAATTGTTCGAAGCGAGTCCTTTAAATGCAATTTTCAGTAACAGTATCACAATAAATGTAATAAGTTTAGCGTTGTTTTTTTTTTATGATTTTATTAATAATTTGCAAATGCTATCATAATTATATATATTGAATTTATCCATAACTTAATAGACAGATTTTAATTGCAAAAGTATCTCGGAGTATTATCTGCAATACCACCTTCGTCCAAATACAGTAAGCTGGCACGTCAAATTTTTACGATGTTCTCTTTCGAAAAGGACTAAATCTTCTAAGCGCCCTTACCAACTGAGGGCAATATTGTTATCTATTCACATATTCATATACTTCTTTTAGTTTTATCGAATGTTTTTAACGGAATATGGATATATACTGTGGGCAAAAAATAGTAATGTTTGGTTTTCATAAGGGCAAAATAATTGATTTCAAAAACTGCTTCAACGAGCAGCTGTTCTACTGGTGTTAAAAGCGTTTTCATACAATATCAGTTCTAAACCTCTTCTTAAGTTTTGGTGTCAGATGATTGACAACCCGTTTTCACCATAGATTGCAATTGTGAATAGACCAGTTGTTATATAAAAAATATAATTCACATTTGACATTTTGTCAATTGGAAAATACTTTTTCGAATATCCAATATTTATAAAAGAAATACAAATTCCGTGAACTAATTTCGATCGGTGAAAGACTGGCGACAACACTACGCTCGATGAATTCTCGAAGCTTTAAAGAATGAGTTTTTAAAAGTGAATATTTAGGCCTATTCGTGGATCAGTGAAATAATATAAACTGTATTATGGTAAGGTTCCGAACATCAAAGACAAATGGGTAAATGTGTTGGAACATTTTTACCAGCGATGGAATTTCTCAAAAAAAAAAAAAAAAAAAACGGTAGCATTGGCCATGATGGTTATGGTTGATGCCGAATATAAATTTTAATTCGTAGAAGTTGGAGCTTATGGTCGAGATTCTGATGGAAGTTTTTGCAAAGTAAAACTATTGCTAAAATTTAAATAAATTATTTTTCGATGGCTCTTAAATTTTCCATCTTCGAAGCCACTTCCACATGAACGTGATGAAATACTATTTGTCACAGTAGCTGACAATGATTTTCCCTTAAAAAGGTTCTTGATGAAACCATTCAGCTTCCGCAATGAATTGATGTCATACAAGATATTTAATTATAGATTATTCAGAGCAAGAAATATGGTGGAAAATGTGTATCGCGTTTTCTGATCGTCACGTTACTGCCGAACAGGCGAAAGTTATTGTTCTCGCGATTTGTTTATTCCATTATTTCCTAATAATACGCAAGTCTGTATATCTGCGATGATCTGACGTAGACAAAGACGCAAATGGTATTACTGATCCGAGTAATTGGAAAACGGAGTTGAGGAAAAATTGAATCAGTTCGGCGAAGCAACGATTTAGGGAATCTAGCAGACATGATTAATGTTCATGAAAGTTTTATGTAGTATTTCATAACTCCTCATGGAGAGATTGAATAGAAATATATAGGACAATTTTGCATAACTCGCCTTTGTAATCTCTTTCCCTTTTACAAGTTTGTAATTCCATAATTAAAGTTATTTTATTAAAAATAAAAGTATCTATGAAAACATTAAATGAAAAAAGCTTCCATCGCTCAGTTTTATTCAATATTTAAACTGTTATACATACATACATATTAAATTTACCAATGAATATAGYATTTTAAAACTTTGCTTTCTCACGTTGAAAAAAATAAAAAATGATAAAGTCCACTTCATTTGACAGGTATAGAAAAAAAAGCTTTGCGAATTTGAACGACATGATGTGGAGCTATAATATATATAAAGCAAAACAACAAAATTAGTTTTTATTAACACATATAATTGTGCAACTGCTTACCTTGTTAATTTCTTTTAGTAGTTGAATATCAATTCACATACATATATTCCGCTTGAACTACTTTGTTAATTATGGAGATTCTTGGGCCCACTCTCAGCCATTTGACGACATAAAGTTGCCTCACTCATGACAATCATCTGTTTTAGTTGCTGATGCGAAGGTCTCTAGTGCACATTCAACTGCTTTAGTATACTCATCATCGTCTTTTTGTAGTCGACGTCTTAATAAATTACCATGTGATGTGGTTGGCATTAATGGTATATCCTCAGATATAATTTCCGACTCCAACAATGATGTTGGAGAGCTCAAGGCCGATGGACTGACCTATAATTACAAACATTCATATGGTAATCAAATAGTAATATTTTTTACAATTTATTATGCATTATGTATATACTACACTCAAATTTATTAGATTTGAAGTGAAGTTCAGCACGATAGTCGGCTCTAGAAACTTCAATGATCTTCTAATRCCTTGTACACTTTTTGTGTGACTTATACGATTAAAGGCCGCCTGGAAGAATTCAATTTGGCTGCCACTCCCAATCGGCGCATCTTTAATATTTCAGCCACCTCATGCCTTTGAGCCTTCGTATATTCAGTGGAAAGGAAGTTCCATGTTCCTTCCCTGGATTCAACTTCTTGTTTTAGCAGCTGAAACTGAAAAAATTACAAAATCAAATAAATTATATCTTGAAAATATAATAAAAACTTTAAATCGAATTTAAATTGTTTTCATTTGGTTGTCACTTTATATTGGCGCCGCTGGCCAAAAACCCAATGTTACGTTTTCTTCGATTATCGAGATGTGGTGCATTCCGAATTCCAAACCGGCCAAACTGTCAACAAAAAATACTATGTTATGTGTCGTTTGCGTGGAAATATTCTTCAAAAGAGGCCGGATTATGGGTCGACAACCCTTGGTTTTTGTACCATGATTAATGCACCATCACATACTGCATTAATTCTTCGTGAGTTTTTAGCCAAATTGTCAACCAAGATCTTGTCGCCAACACCATATTAGCCTGAATTAGCTTCGTGTGGCTTCTGACAATTCAGCAATTGTGCATCGCTACGCGCATTGAAGAGTATTGGAGCCAAGCAGGATTATATTGTCGAAAACGACATAGATTTTGAAGAAATTAAGAGTTTTAACGTTATAAAACAAAGTACCTTGGTCGAGCCAATACCGCGACTAAAGTGCTTTCTCGTAATACTCCTTTCTGCGTAGGCGGCTTTTGGACTAAAATAATAACCGTGGTCGATCCAATACTTAGTATAATTCTCTAGGAAAGGAATTTTCTCGAAATGCCTTATGATCATATGGTAGCGATGTCTAGTAAAAGTTATTTTTAAATCATATATTTCTTACTTAAAGTACCTGCAAAAGGTGTATAATGTGAATTTGTTTAAATATTTACACTTTAATTTAATGAATTTGAAGTGAAAAATGTGCATAAAAAGTACTAAAGTAATGAAATAGCTTGTTTAAACTTTTGGAATTTTTTTACTTTAAGTCGAATAATCTTCGTTTGCGGTTTATTCCGGTATATTTTCAAAAAAATCATAATTTCGCCCATTTAAGTACTTAAATAATAATGTACAACATTAATTAATTTTTCTTTGCAACGATGCACTTATATTTATTTTCAACTCCTTTATACCGTTAAATCATTCCATAAAATGAATCTGGTATTTCAGACTTATTTTGTCAACAAAAATCAATATATTAACTCACCAACACACAACTTAAATTACCGAGTAAGCGCAGAAAAGCCGTTTAAACAACTCACGACACTCGTTTTCGGCTGGGCACACAACACAAACGCTAGTCAACGACAGACGGAACCGCGCGACACAACCCGCTCAGCCAACAACCCACTGCATATTAAGTGAGTTTTGTGACTTTGTTTTTTTTTTTCTGAATTTGCCTTTAAAACTTCAGCTTTTTATATCAAAAGAAATCAGCGTTGCAATCATTGAAGCAAAACTTTCATTTCCTGTCTTTAATTGCCGCCTGTGTAGCCGTTAGCTTAACTCATCCAACCAAACAATTTTTCTGGCCAAGGAAAGCAAAACCGCCAACCGACAAAATCCACGCTCGTGTCCTTGCCACACATCAACGACTGGACGCGTATGCATGTCCGTCTTCCTGCAATAGAAAGGCCAGAAGCTCTGCTTTGAATAAAAAATTTTACGAAAAGTACAAGAATTCGACGCGTAATCCATTACTCACTTGTCTCCGTGTTTTACCGCATACGCTTTAACACAAACTAAATTTTACCTTCGTATAACAGTTGTTTAAATAGAAAGTGCAGCAAGCACTAGCTGGACCTTCTGAAATTCTCAGTTAGCGGTTAAACTTTCATACCATATGTTGCTTAACATTGTTATGCTGGTGGGTGGAAGCAATTGTTGATTTGCTGAGTCCAAGGCTTCTCAATAAGACGCTCGTTGAGAGCTTTCAATTTATACCGTTAAGGTTCTCTAATCTAAATCATCGGGAAGTGTGTGAGTGCCAGTAAGCTCTCGTGAGTTTTCAAACAGCTGAATAACCTGAGGATGGAAAAAAGTGTTGATTTGCTGAGTGCAAGGCTTCTCAATAAGAGGCTCGTTGAGAACTTTCAATTTATACCGTTAGGGTTCTCTCATCTTAATCACCGGGAAGTGTGCGAGTGCAAGTAAGCTCTCGTGAGTTTTTAAACAGTTGAATCAGCTGAATGTCAAGTTAGGGCAACCTTAATGATTAGTTTGGGAGAACTTAATATTAAATAAACAAACGGTTTGAAGGAAAATTAAACAATTTCTAGGCCGGGTTATTTGGATATTATGGGGAAAATGGATTGGTTACGAAGCTTTATCATTACATATCAATATAACATTTTTTAGTTACAAGGTTTAAATTTGGCATGGGCTTGTTTTGGTTTTACCTGAAATATGAAATATTTTATTAGAATTTTTTATTGATAAAAACAAAGAAATTCTGAAATTTTTTGCAAAAAACATTTGAAACTCGGCCATTGTGACGCCATTTCAAGTGAAACCATTGAAAACAGATGCGCTCGCCATGGCAAGATAACTTTTTACAGAATCATCTTAGTAAAAAAATACATTTTTAGTTCAAACCTTTACTTAGAGCTTGGACGAAGGAAAAACAACTTAAAATTGGATTTTTTTCTGACATTTTCACATAAAAATAGAAATTCTGTGAAAATTTCGAGACATTTTTATACTTTTACAACCTGCGGATTTTTTTCTGACATTTTCACATAAAAATAGAAATTCTGTGAAAATTTCGAGACATTTTTATACTTTTACAACCTGCTGAGTAATGTAGTTTTTGTTCATCTAACGGTTGTACGTATCACCTAAAACTATTCAAGATATATAAAGGGTTGTATATACAATATAAATGATCAGAATGTGTGGACGAGTTGAAATCCGGTTAGCTGTCTGCCTGTCCGTCCATCCGTTCGTCCAGGCAAGCTGAACCTTGAGTAAAAATTGAGATATCTTGAGAAAGCTTCTTTAGTACCAAAAAAGTTACGAGTTCGTAGATGGCAGTAATTGGACCACTGAAACGCTCACGAAACGCCACTAACCGAAAACCTATAAAGTGAAATGACTAATCACTAAATTAAGATATAAAATTGTAATTTGGTATAGTTATCGTGGCAAGGAGCATCTGTTTTGAAAAGTGCGCGGCCCGCCCTCTAATAAGTTTGATGTATATATCTCCTCAACTACTAAAGCTACAACATCCAAATTTGCTTAACGCATATATGAAAAAAACTTCAGTAAGAAACAGTATGAAAATGGATTAAATCGGAAAACAACCCCGTTCACTCCCGGTAACGGTACTGTTCAAAACCACTTATAGCAGGAACAGTCAAAAACGCTACTGCCTTCCTCGCTTTTCCTTTCTCATCATCAAAATATGTGCCCAGTGAAAAACGTGGCAAAAACGGAGAAATCAGCCATCTTTGTTTGTTTTTATTTGCACAATGTTGCCATTGCTCAATAAGCATATATAGTTTTGTACACATCTATGTTTTCAATTACAATTTTTTATAATATAAAATATCAAAACTGAAAACAAACTATTAAAAAATAGTTTATATATTTATAGTAGCATTCGACTCCAATTTTGAGTTATTTTAAGAAAATTTCAAACATATTGAACAGATTGAATTATAAAAGTTGATAATTACTACAGTATATAGATATTGATAGGTTGTGAGACAGCAATCAGCTGACACGTTTAGACGGCAAAAACCAAAATGCTGTAGATTCTCACGTCATCCGACGTCAAAGAGAGAAGGGAGTAGCGTTTTTCACTGGGYACTTACATTGCGCGCCCATAAGATAGGTCGAATCAGCTGACACGACCCACAATTCTGCGTTTTTGACTGTTTCTGCTATTAAGGTGCAATGAATTAGAAACATCAAACTCTACCTCCATGATGGTGTAGGAACGCTTTATAGGAGCCGGTATTAAAATCTAGCAATGGGCACATAACACTGTCCGCTTTTTGGTGAAATCCTATGTCTCGGGTCCTAGTAAAACCAATCTCGACTAAATTTAGTACGTAGCATTTTCTTCGTATTCCTATGTGACAGTGTAGTTGGCGAAATCGGCCCACCCCTTTTTAAATTCTATTCGATTCTTCCACTTTAACACTACAGAAATAATTTAGAAACGGGATAAAACTTTGCACTAATAATTCGTTTAAAGTATATCCACTTTATGACCAAAAATTGCTCAACTTAAATTTGTCAAACAAACTTTATGCCGAACTCATCAGTTAGTGTATGAGTTATATTAATAATAATTAATTCATATAGAAAATTACTTAGATTTCGATCCTCTGGTTGACGCATTACATCATAAGGTATTTCCCTGATTTGCGATACAACATTACACCAAATCACTCCGGATTTTGGCCGTTTACATAAGCGGAGCAAAAGTTTACCAATAAAGTTTACACGAGAGAGAATTATTAAAGACTGTTGAAGTGACGACAAAAGTATTAACATGAAATGACAATTGAAAAATCAATTTGATAAAAAGGAATTTCAGCGAAATGCCTTATGATCATAGGGTAGCGTTATAGATTTCTTACTTAAAACACATGCAAAAAGTGTATAATGTGAATATAATGTTTAAATGTTTGCAGTTAAGTTTAATGGTTTTGAAATGAAAAATGTGCGTAGTGTGTTAAATGGAGTGAATAACTTATTTAAGTGTTGGTATTTTTTAACTTTAAGTCGAATAATCTAAGCGTTTGTGGTACCTATAATATATATTTTTGAATCAGAAGGACTTCCTATCTTAAACGGTACCTTAAGATTGAGACACCAAAGAAATCAGAATTTTGCCTATTTAATTAATTACTTAAATAATTATGTACAACATTAATTTATTTTTTCTTTCCAGCGCTGACAATTGAAAAATCAATCATTACATAAATGGTATGAATAATCATAACTATTATCTAAAGTCTTTCATGTTCCAATTACTCTAATAACGCTGTTCAACTCCGTGAAAACCTACTTTCAATTGTATTTATTACTCATAACATACAAATAACTACACAATATGAATAAATAAATAAATAAAATAAATATGAGTAATTTACAGAAATATATTTTAACTCCAATTARGGAGACTAAAGTTAATTAGGGAGAGCGAAAGTCCGAAACCGGTGTTGAAGTCATTTCTGACACTTAGTTATATACTAAAGACTATGTATATTTAGAGCCATGCCGTTTCGCATTTCTCTAATTTGTCTAATTGGCATCCAAATACCAAAAACCTGTAGTTATGTCTTTTTCAACATATACGACAGATTTTGGCTTCTTTGGAATAGGATCGCCCGCTGATGTCCACTGTTTCGACTCGTAAGGTTTCGCTGGCACGGCGTCAAATATATCTTTGAAGTGGACTGTGATTGTTGTCTAAAGTAAGCAACCGTGGCAACCATTTCGGTCTACAGGTCAAAACAAACTTTCGATCGCGACTTAACTGTCTGTAGTGACGCTGTTAAGACTAAGTGCTTAGCGCACTGCCCTTGAAGAATTTTCCGAACCGATAGTATTTATATTGAGTGGCAAGTTATATCAAAACATTGCTTCTATGTTTCAGTTGGGAACTTCTCTTGAATTGATACAAATTCGAATACATATTTCAATTATAAAATATCGAAAACCTTTCTTAAATGCCGTCTTCAATTCACATACAATTACACAACCTCGCACTTTATATAATAAGTATTATATATACCCTTACGTATTTAAGATAAATCGTATTGTTGGCTTAGAGTCTTCGGAATCAATTTAATTGTCTCAATTTACTAATAGCAGACTAAAAAATGCACTCTGTGATCTTCAATGAGCTCAATCACAAAGTTTTAAGTCCTCTTAGTTTAGTTTATGATCGAAATCACGTTCAAGTCCACGGTTAGTACATGTATGTAGCTAGTGAGTGATGCGTGAATGAAATTTCATAATTCTTACCTCTTTAAGCTATCGACATATTGTTTCGTTAATTCTATTTTGGCGAAAATTTCCAAAGAAATTATTGTACCTACTTAAAGACCTTTAAGTTCTGATAATATTCAAGATTTCATCATTATTTAAGCAAGGCGGTCTTAGAAGCTGAAGGGAAACCCTGCCGAAACCACTCCATTGTCTATCAAAACCATTCAAATTTAATAATTTGTTTGACTCTCTCCTTATAAAATAAATTTCTACATTTCCTGATTTTGGTTTTACTTTCATCCTCAGATTTTGACTGAAGGATATATTGTGCTCGGAAATGCATAACTTTTTATCTTATTTGTGTATATCTACTGACTGCAATGGCTACACGTTACCATCGAATCTATTTATGTTTAATGTAGTGAAGTCATACTGAAAGTACGCCACATATCTATACTCGTATGATTGTAATCGTATATGCACTGAATAACCTCCCATAAAATCTGACTTATTGCCTGCTAAGGAATTTACGTCATTTTCTGGTTGGTTGAGTATTCCATCTAAAGTCATCGTACTAGATGATGGTTAGTAACTTAACGGTTTGTTCAGTTCTATGTCTTCTGAGAGTGTGTCTGGGAAATTTATATACATGGCTGGTTTTACCACTCTCTTAGCATTGGTAGTTTATGTTAGTTTCCTTTCCCACGGAATAGTTATTTTGATAGAAGATAGCTG